ACAAGTCATCATCAATGGCGGCTTAGTGCCTGTTTAGGAGAAGGTTTCCAATGGCGTTCCCCAGGGGTCTGTCCTGGGTCTCATATTGTTTAATATCTGCATGAATGTTTTGGATGACGGGATTGAGTGCATGCTTAGCAAGTTTGTGGATGACACCAAGTTGGATGGAGTTGCAGACTTTCTGGAAGGCAGAGATGGAATCCAGAATGACATGCAAAAAGTGGTCCACAATCAACTAGATGAAATTCAACAAGAACAAGTACGAAGTCCTGCACTTGAGATGGAATACAGACTGGGGAATGATTATCTGGGCTGCAGTACTGCAGAGAAGGACCTGGGGTTACAGCAGACCAGAGGCAAGAGCCAACAGTATGCTCCTGTTGCAAAAAAGGCCAACAGTATACTGGATTGTATTAACAGGAGTGTCACTTGCAAATCAAGGGAAGCGATTATTCCACTCTATTCAACACTGGTGAGGCATCACCTGAAGTACTGTGTCCAGTTTTGGGCCTCACACTTCAAAAAGAATGTGGACAGTTTGGAAAGAGTCTAGCAGAGAGCAAAAAATATATATATTAGAAAGGCCTGGGAAGCAAGACTTATTTAGACAGGCTGAAAGAACTGGGCCTATTTAGTCAGGAGAAGAAAAGACTGCTGTCAAAACCTCTTTCAGTCTTCACATACCTGAGGGGTAGTTAGAATGGGGATGAGCTTTTCTCTACAGCTGTAGGGGACAGGACTAGGAACAATGGCTTCAAGCTGCAACAAAAGAAATTTAGTTTGGAAATCAGGAGGAACTTTCTGACTATGAAGGTGGTCAAGCACTGGGACAGGCCTCCTAGAGCTGTGGAATCTCCACCCTAGGCATCTTCAAGAGCAGGCTGGACAGACACTTAGCTGGAATGGTTTAGTCAGGGATGATCCTGACTTGAGCAGGGGGACTACATGGCCTTGTGAGGTCCCTTTCAACTCTATGATCATGAGCTCATCTAAGTGAGGAAACTGTAAAAGCAAAATTGCTAGCTCTACCATGCATCCCTATTAGTCCAGGTTCACTTCTATCAAGACATACTCTAGTCTACAAGGTAACGAACAGACAATTACATAACTTCCTGCTTCAAATTTTCCAAGGGCAGTACATGCAAGCTTCTAGTAATACATTCGGCTTCAGCCACAAAGGCACTTTCTGAGATAGTCCAGGGGATCGGCATCTCACATTCTCTACTTTTGGTTGGTTTTACTAGAGTTTGATGTCATGTAGCCAGGATTTCTCACAGGAGGACATCAGGCTTTTCATTAGTTATTTCTTCTGGCTTCAGCGGATCTCACCATTACTCTGATACAAAAAACTACACACTGAGCTACAGAACTAGTGTGGTAGAGGGATATAAAACATGAGATAGTTAATAGCTGCGCACTCCTAAGATCCTAGCTGGTCATGACTTGGAAGATTTGGGCTTAGCACAGCATAATTCTTTCCCTAATTTATTTCATGCACTGGTCGTCTTGGCAAGTTGCTTCAAATGTACAAAGAAATACTACAGGGAAAAGGACTGTGTTGGCTAAGAGGATGGATGAGATGACCTTGCCTAACTTCTGCACTTCTGTGAAGATCTATGCTCCTCTTTTTCCATGCTGCTCTGCTGAAACCTCCATTCCTTAGAGCTCAAATTGCTCCAGCAGTTTGGCATGTCTTTCACAAAGCTGAACAAAAATAGCCCATGTGGATTCCTTATTTTGAGGGCTTTACTATGTAAGCAGCAAAAGGAATAATCAGGAAAATGTGGATCTCTTACTGAAGGGGGGAGGCAATTTAGTGATAGGTGATGTGGAAAAGGCTGAAGTGCTCAATGCCTTTTTCACCTCAGTCTTCAGAGGCAAGGGCAGCTCCCAGACCACTACACTGGGCAGGACAGTTTGGGGAGGAGGTGAGCGGCCAACAGTGGCAAAAGAATAGGTTAGGGACTATTTAGAAAAGCTGGACATGTACAAGTCCATGGAGACAGAAGGGATGCACCTGAGGGTGCTGAGGAAGATGGCTGATGTGACTGCAGAGCTGATGGCCATTGTCTTTGAAAACTCATGGTGATTGGGAGAGGTCCCAGATAACTGGAACAGGGCAAATATAGTGCTCATCTTTAAGAAAGAAAAGAAGGAGGATCCAGGGAACTACAGACCAGTCAGCCTCACATCAGTCCCTGGAAAAATCATGGAGCAGGTCCTCAAGGAATCCATTTCTAAGCATTGGAGGAGAAGGCAATTACTGATTAGTACCAGTCAGCATGGATTCACCAAGGGCAAGTTATGCCTGACCAACCTGACTGCCTTCTATAATGAGATGCTTGGCTCTGTAGATGAGGGGAGACCAGTGGATATGATATACTTCGACTTTAGCAAGGCTTTTGATATGGTCTCACAACAGTCTCTCCAGCAAGCCAGGGAAGTATGAATTAGATGAATGGACTGTAAAATGGACAGAAAACTGATTGGATCATCAGGCTCAAAGGGTAGTAAGCAATGGCTCAGTGTCTGGTTGGCAGCCAGTATCAAGTGGAGTACCCCAGGGGTCAGTCCTGGGTCCAGTTTTGTTCAATATTTTCATAAAAGATCTGAAAGATGGGATGGAGTGCATCCTCAAAAAGTTTGCAGGTGACACAAAGCTGGGGGGATTAGTAGATATGCTGGAGGGTAGGGCTAGGACTCAGAGAGACCTCGACTAATTGGAGGATTGGGCCAAAAGAAATTTCATGAGGTTCAACAAGGACAAGTGCAAAGTCCTGCCCTCAGGACAGAACAATCCCATGCATCAGGACAGGCTGCGGGCTGACTGGCTTGGCAGCAGCTCTGCAGAAAAGGACCTGGGGGTACAGTGGGCAGTAAGCAGAATATGAGCAGTGTGACCTTGTTGCTAAGAAGGCTAACGGCATCCTGGGTTGCATTGGTAGAAGCATTGCCAGCAGATTGAGGGAAGTGATGAAGCCTCTCTATTCAGCACTGGTGAGGCCACATTTGAAGTAACGGTGTCCAGTTTTGGGCCCCCCACTATAGAAAGGATGTGGACAAATGTGGAGAGAGTCCAGTGCAGGACAACAAAAATGGTTCGGGGACTGAGGGGCACAACTTTTAAGGAGAGGCTGAGGGAACTGGGCTTATTTAGTTTGGAGAAGAGAAGACTGAAGGTAGGGGGACTTAGTTAAAGCCTTCAACTCCCTGCAGGGTGGTCCCAAAGAGGATGGAGCTGGACTGTTCTCAGTGGTGGCAGATGACAGAACAAGGAGCAATGGGCTCAAGTTTCAGCAAGGGGAAGTTTAAGTCGGATATTCAGAAAAACTCTCTCACTAGGAGGGTAGTAAAATTAGGGACTATTTGTCACTACTATATGGAGACTAAGATTTCTCCACTGTCCTGTCCAAGTTCCAGTTGTGTCATCAAATTGCTAAGAAATTCCTTCTAATTCTGGTCTGGTATATTATCTTTGCATCTGACAGCTCCTTTTGCTTGATTCAGCCTTGCCTCTGGTCCAGTTCTTTTATGCCACTCTGAAAGGATGGCTGAATCAAGTAAAGCACTTACAATTCAGTGAAAAGCTACTGAAGCCCTGTATATTAGCTGCTATGACAATATCTGGCAATGGTCAGTCTATTTCTAGCTGAGTAACTCCCACACTTAGAATCTCATCCTCTTCAGGTGCCTAGTTACTCAACTTCCCAGTTCCTCTGACTGAATGCTATGCTGTTGCTATTATGAGGCTATTTTATTATGAGCAATTTTTACTTGGCAATAGATTCAGTTATTACTCCATATAACAATGGGGGAAAAGCAGGCAGTTAGCATCATTTATAGAAAAACGGTTATAAAAGATGATGTATGCACTGAAAGAGAAATCCAAGTTTACAGTTTAACCAAATGTATAAAATAAAAGTCCTTATGTCCAGGTTTGCAACCAAGTACTTGAAAGTTATGAAATCAGAAATTTCATCTTGCCTGTTAAAGCCCCCTCAGTCTGGTATTTGCTGACTTTCAATTGCTCGAGTATGCCATTTAAAATGTCCTAGTTGACAAACCATGTGAAATCAAGACAAACCAGGGGCCTGGTCCAGTACATCATTACTTGTATAAGCAATGCATCTCAAATAAAATATCCCTTATTTGAGATTCCATGGGACAGGAAGAACCTCACACTCTGCTTTAGCAACTCGTCTGCCTAATGAGCTCTCTTCTCAATTATTTTAGGCGACTCAAGAGACACTATTTCTGCCACTTCCTCTGAAAGACTTACAGGTTAACAGATCTTGCTGCTAGAAGTGATATTTCTCTTAAAATGAACCTCTTATCTAACCTTAACCAACTACTTGTCTTTAATGTTTATACCCTTCAAATGGCAAGATTAACTTCCTGAACTTTATCTAGAAAATAGGGTCTAATTTTCTCCACTGCTAAAAAATGTGTATCAACTCAAGTTAGCCAACTACCAGTAAAACCCAACTGAAAGAAACAAAACTATCTGCAGTTCACACACAAGTCAGCATACTGAGTTAATTCTTATGTAGAAACTTAGTGTTATTCATGACCCAAATTATAAAGTTATAAACTGTCTTCTTTTCCCCATGACTGAAGGTTGAGTTTGCTCACCTGACTCAGAATATGCCTTCTCATCCTCATTTCACTGCAGACAAGGCTTAAAAGGTGTTGTTGGTTGCATTTTATTCTAACCAGTCCCTCCCTATTCCCTTACTTTTATAAATGCCCACTTACTCTCGCAATTGCTCCCTGGCAATCCTGAATGCTAAAGAGGTGAGGTTAAGAGTTAATTTGCCAGCTCAGTTATGGAACCAGTGTCCAAAATGAATATTGTGCATGCGGGGCAGAGATAGTAATGAAGCACAAATCGCAAGAGACTGGGGGGGTGGGAGGAGAGAGTTGCTTCAGAAATAATCTGACATCTATCCGGGATTGGAGAACTTCCAACTTTGAACAGAGCTCAAACAAAGACAACTCACCACCGTGCTCCAGAAAAACCCGAACGCATCTCTCTTTTCCTCTTGCTGCAGAGAAATGAAGCAAGGTCCAACCATTGGCATCTCGACCATTTGGAGAATAGCCTTGTTCCAACATCTTGCGCACGGTGTGAACATCCCCAGCAGCTACTGCAGCCTGAATCTGTAACTCTTCCTGTAGTTCAGGGTTCCTCCGACAGTGATGGTGTAACATCCTAGCTGACTCTGACTCTTACAAGAGTGTCATGAGGTCATACTATTCACCTTGAATCAATAGAAAGTGTACATAAATTACAGACAGAACTAGAAAGAGGGAATTTGGCGAAATAAAAAAAAAGTGACATCAAGCAACAAAGAGTACAAACTGAGATTAAGTCCACCATAAAACAGTATCAAGAACAGCTAGATACTTAAAATGGCTAGGAAAAAGACAGCTGTAGACCCCTAATGCTTAAATCCTAACAGAAAGGGAAAATTACACATTTAATAGCATACAGCTTTTTTTCTTTTTTTTTTTTTTTAATTCAAAGGTAATCTAAGAGTTAACCATCATGCTTCCATGCAATTTTAGCACTGTTAGGTATGCTCATGATTCACAAAATAATCCTAGAGAATTCAAACAGAAATCCATAGCATCAAATCGCTCTGAACTGTTTTGGTCTTTCTGAGTTCTTTGCAAGAGTTCATATTTTTATTTTTCTTTATGCAAAAACACATGATTAAAAATGGAAAAGTAGTATTTTCAGAGAGGTGCCTTGAGTTTAAAAAGATTGAGAACTACTTCATTAGATCAATTCACCAATGCTAAAGTACTGCATTGAACAGTGCTATATTGGCAGAGAAATCTACTAGATCTTTTTTGCTTAATCATAGAGAACTTTCTCTAGAAATTTTCCCTTCATCTAAAATAAAAATCACAGCATATCTAACTTAGTCTTTTGACATGTGATCTACCTCACAGGGATGTGAGAGAGTTAACGTTTATAAAATGCTTTAAAAAATGTGAAGATATAAGAATTATATTAATTCCTAATATGGATAACAATATGTTCTCATTATTTTGGCTTGTGGAATCCATAAAAAAAAAAAAACTATAAAAGACCTTCATATTGCGAGGGTAAGATATGAAAGCAAGGTTATGAAAGATCCAAGAACACAAACGCTTGACACATCCTTCTGAATAATTACTCAAATACAGAACTGGACTAAACACTATGCTGTGTACAATAAGGCAGTGTGTAGAGACTAACACAACTGGGAAAAAAATATATGAAAACTACATTTCATGCTTTGTTTGAAGAATAGAATCATCTTAAGACCCACTTGCTAGACACCCAGGGACAAAAATCACTCAGATATTTATGAAGCCCTTCACAGCATATAAATTCAGATCAGTGTTTGCATTTTCAAGCATACTACATTCGTTATAGGAATACGTCTCCATAGTGTATGGCAAGAAATACCAGAACAAAGTGCATAAGCAACAGCAGATTATCAGACAGAAAAATATTCAGATGCTGTAGGGTAGATGTTAATACAGAATACCAAGACAGGAAAGAGATTGTTCTAGAGAAAAAGACATCGAGTTTCAATAAAAAATAGAAGGTACTAAGAAATCAATTTTTAGAAGATGGCCCATTAAAAAAAAGCCTTAAAAGTCCATCTTTAAGACAGGGTTGCCAATACAACACTTCCCCTGCAACACACCCCATCCCTTGTCATACCAGCCATTGAGCATATTGACCAAGTAACATCCCACAGGATTAGTAATCCTTGTCTTTCCTAGTCAACTTCAGTTTTAATGCCTTTACTTTCCTGTGGCTATGAACAGTGTTGAAGGGTCTTTTGTTAACATAATGACCACAAGCTCTGGGCTGGGGACCAGTGACCTGACGTTTATGCACATGAAGTAAGTAGAGATACACCAATATTGTCCATATTGTATCAGTAGTGATAAAATAAAAAATTGACATTACTGACAATCAGCCTTTTTTTAACAATTTAACATGGCCAATAACTGCTGCATGCATGCACACAGCTGCAGAATTCACGTGGCCGGGAGAGCAGCCCAGCAGCTTGGAGAATATCGCCTGGCTGTTGATGGGAACGGGGGGAGGGGGGGTGCACACAGATTGAGGCCCCTGTGGTGAAGATTGAAGCCCCCATGGTGAAGGAGGGAGTAGAGATGAGGCTAGGGCTGGAGCAGGGGCAGGTGCTGCACAGCCAGGGTGGGGTGGGGGACAGAGCCAGTGGCTTTTCTGGGGGGTGCAGACAGTTGGCTCCTGCCACTGCATGCACCCCCAGGGAGAATGTGCCCCCTCACATCTGTACACAGAGCAAGAGCAGGCTGCTGCTGTGTTTTTGGGCCAGGGCTGTTCCAGCTTCTTCCCAGTGACTGCGCTCGGGCTGGGAGGGGCGGGGTGGCCGGTGCTGGGAGGCAGGGCTACAGTAGGCTAGAGCGATCCCAAAATTTGCTGTAGCCCCACCTCTCAGCACCATCACCACCCGATACACCCGAGCGCAGCCACCAGGAAGAGCCTGGAGCAGCCCCAGCCCTGCGAATGCAGTGGCACACCAACCTTGCCCTGTGCACAGATCTAGAGAGGCACATGCCCCCCATGCCTTCCCCAAGGGTGTGCGCACTGGCAAGAGCTGCTCTCCTCCTCCCCCCGCCCATTCCCATCCCCTCACACCCCCTGGATAAGCCACAAGCTCCATCCTACGTCCTGCCCCACTGTGGCTGGGCAGCGCTTGCCCCTGCCCCAGCCCTCCCCTCACCTCAGGGGCCTCAATCTGCCCCCACCATGCCTCTTCCTTCCCCCACACTCCTTTCCCCCAGACTTACCAGCCAGAAGCTGCTCTCCAAGCTGCCAGGATGCATATTGACAATTGGATTGGTATTGGCTGATACAGCTGATCAATCAGCCATCAGTATTGATCCAAAAAATCCTTATCGGTGCACCCCTAGAAGTAAGGGCTTACTGTAACTTTATAAGATGCTCAACAGACTCTCAATGAAGTCCCTGCACCGTTACTGGGCCCTCAGCTTTCATTGTTCCAGCTATACAGGCAATTAAAAAAGAAAGCAAGACTATCTAAAATATGAAAATGACCAACCAGAGCCTTAATATTCATTTCCTTTTCTTTCAGTAAGGTTGTACCTACTACTGGAAGTAGTGTGCATGCTGCCTGAGGGCTATCTAAGGGCAAGAATGCAATTCAAAACTAACTCCAAAGATACAGGTAATTGCACATGTTCTCATAAATAAACTGACAGGCTGTGATGTAGATGATTACACAGTCAGGCAGGTGGCAAATTGGCTTAGGGGTCGCATCCAGAGAGTGGTGGTAGATGGGTCGATATCGACCTGGAAAGATGTGGGCAGTGGAGTCCTGCAAGGCTTGGTCCTTGGACCAGTGCTATTCAACGTCTTCACCAGTGACTTGGATGAGGGTGTGGAGAATACCCTGTCCAAGTCAGCAGATGGTACCAAAATCTGGGGCAAAGTTAACACAGCAGAGGGTAGGGAATGGATCCAGGTGGATCTGGACAGGTTGGATAAATGGGCAGAATGAAATAGGATGCAGTTCAACAAAGACAAGTGCAAAGTGCTGCACCTGGGCAAAAAGAACCACCAACAAATTTACAGGCTGGAGGATGACCTTCTCAGTAGCACAGCAGCAGAAAGGGATCTTGGAGTCATAGCTGTTGACACCAAAATAAACATGAGTCATCTATGTGATGAAGTGATCAGTAAAGCTAACTGCACTTTATCACACATTAGCAGATGCATGGCAAACAGGGGCCAGGGAGGTGATGCTTCCCCTCTATGCGGCACTGGTCAGGCCACAGCTGGAGTACTGCGCCCAGTTCTGGGCACCGCACTTCAAGAGAGATGGAGAGAATCTCAAGAGGGTCCAGAGGAGGCCACTTGTATGGTCAGAGGCCTACAGGCAAAACCCCTACAAGGAGAGACTGAGGGACCTAGATCTCTCCAGCCTTTGCAAGAGAAGGCTGAGAGGTGATCTTGTGGCTGCCTACAAATTCATCAGGGGAGGGCAGAAGGGACTAGGAGATGCTCTATTTACTAGGGCACCCCTGGAGGAACTAGGAACAATGGCCACAAACTGACGGAGAGCAGATTTAGGTTGGACATTAGAAAGAATTTCTTCACAGTAAGGGTTGCCAGAATCTGGAACGGGCTCCCAAGGGAGGTGGTGCTCTCACCTACCCTGGGGGTCTTCAAGAGGAGACTGGACAAGCACCTAGCTGAGGTCATCTGACCCCAATGCTCTTTCCTGCCCAGGGCAGGGGATGGGACTCGATGATTTGCTGAGGTCCCTTCCAACCCTGACATCTATGAATCTACGCACAGCTCCAATGACCCTAAACACAGGCCAGATTTGAAAGTTACACACACAGATGTTAGCTTAGTACATGAAGTCTAGTTACCCATCAACAATTTCCAAGTTTACTTATACTGTCTTCTAACTGGACAACATTTAAACTTTTGTAAAAAAACTAGATGCTTTCCCCCTCACTTGTACACCATCTTCGCAGATTCTGTGTATGATACAGTCTCCATTCTAGCACAGGGTTTGAAGGAAACTTCTTGAGCTCAAGAATTTAAATACTGCTTAAAAGAAACCAGCTTACTGTGCATGACATGGAGAAAATACAAGGTGCCCTAATTGATGTTTTCAGTTAAAAAGGTGCTGATAAGATAAGTTTGCTCTGAGGAAAGGTTAAGAGCTAAAAGTTAAGAAAACCAAGTAAGGCAAGGTATTGAGAGAGAATTTGAGGCAAAATTAGCTCATAATATATAAGTTCTCATGAAAATGGGGGAGGGAGCGTTCAGAAGGATGGGCAAGTGACCAAACTAAAGCATGTTAACTAGAGCAGAGATTTACCGAAACATAGCTGCTGCATAGTGACGGTTCAGGCACTCTGTGTTCACAATTACTCCATGGTAAGTAAAGCTGAGCCTGGACAGTTCACCCCTGCTACATGATAAGGCCCCCACCTCCCTACTGACTTGCTTTTATTTGAGCAAAGAGCTCTTTACATCCTTCTGGAAAAGCAGCAGAATGAGGAACGTGTTTGGAAAGCAGGGCCAGGAGCATATGAAGACAGGTTTTCAGGTAATTCAGAGACTGTTGGGAAGTGTGGCTACTAACATATTAAGCATCAGAGTTTGGCAAGCTTTTCCTATGTTAAAATGTTCCATGCTGCACCACGTACATTTAAAAAAAAAAAAAAAAAAAAAAAAGAGATCTGCAGATGCACAATGGAGCTTATATTACTGCCTTGAAATGAAACAATGCATTGATTTTAAGACATTAATTTTATAAATGGTTTTTGAAGCTTTTCCTCCCACTTCCTTGCTAATGTCTCTGCCACATGCCCCTCTCACTCATCTATCATTTCTGTTTTGAATACTTTCTGGGGCATTTGGTTATTTTTATAGTACGGGTACATTATCTGTCATGACCTGGCAAAAAGGGCACTGCAAAAATAGCAGGTGTTTACTCAACAGTCCTTGGCCTGGACCGCAGTTTGAATCAAACCTGATTAATCTGGTGAAAAAATGGCCTTATGCAACATTTCCTGAGATCACTTGGGGGTATTTTCACTGATTCCAATAAGTTTTCGTTTAGATCCAAGTTTAACTCCAGTTATCATAGATTCATAGATGTGGGGTCGGAAGGGACCTAAGTAGATCTTCAAGTCCGACCCCCTGCCCTGGGCAGGAGAGAATACTGGGCTCATATGACCCCAGCTAGGTAATTATCAAGCCTCCTCTTAAAGACCCCCAAGGGAGGAGCCAGCATCACTTCCATTGGAAGCTGGTTCCACTTTCAAACAAACTCATCCTTAAGAGCAAGCTAGGTTTTGCTCAGGATCAAACCATTAGCAGTACTGTTACATACAATTCCAGCTCTAGCACCAAATTCTTCCCTCAGGTCCATGGGTACAAAAAAGTGGAAAGAGTAGTAGAACCTAGATTACTTGTATGCACCCGACCAGCTTGGCTCTCTGATCCTGGCTAGAGTTTGGAAGTTACAAAAAGAAAAAAAATTATTCAAGTTAAGAATCTTTTATAATAATCAATAATACAATACGTCACTATTTCTTAGCACTGTATTCATCTATTTTTTCCATGGGAACGTCAGACAGTATCCCAAGCTAAGTGAATATTAAACCCATCATGCTAACATGACAGAAACGGACAGGCTGACTTAACAGAATGTGTGAGAGGAGGAAAGAGAAGAAAAGGGGATTTCTCATGAAATGGGCAGTTGTAAGTTTAAGTATCTTTGAAGGCAGCTGGATAAGAAAAATGCAAAGATCTTTCAGTCTCAGCTGGTGGGAATTCTTGTAATGCAGTGTTATAAAAAGTTGGCAGTGGCCCCAAATGCTGCTTGCAACTAGCAAGTTTTATTCAGATTAGCTAGTATCTAAGTGCTAAAACACACAGAGTAGAAAGAAAAATTAAAGCATCAGCGGCTTCTTTTATCACTTGTGAAGACTTTGTAAACACGCTTTCTTTGTTTCACCCCCCGCTGCCAGCATAGAAGCCCATATTATGCAACATTACAGTAAAATATTTTGAGGTTTCAGGACTGCTCTATACACATACCAGCTTTGAAGTTAAAATGAAAATGGTTTCAAAGCTTTTCTAAAGTCTTTGTTTAGGGCATCAATCTTTGGAAAGGAGAGAGGGACTAATGGAAGCCTTGAGCCATTTGGCACTTAATATTTAATGTTTGAAACTATAATCAATCTCGCTTAGAACATAATATGTGGCTGGATTGCTACATGTTGGTTTTTTCCATGCAAGTCGAAGTAACAGAAATGGTACATAAGAGGTACCTGGAAATTCTAAGCTGCCATGATTTGCGTAGCACCATGCAAATAGAAGGCAAAAACAACTTAATTGATTTTGGAAACAGCATGGATAAATTCAATCCTTTCCCGAAATATTACCTTACAGGAAGCTGTCACTTTTTGATGTGTGTTCCACTCTTCATTGTCTTCATTACACAATCTTGTGTGCCCATACAACATGTCAAACAGTCTGCTACTCCTTAAAAAGAATAATGTATTCTTGTTAGATACAGAGACAGATTAAAAAAAAAAGTCTGCCTGTTCTTGCACTGCACCTGGTTTATAATTTCACATTTTAATGTCACCATGCTAGAGGAGGCCTAAAAGTTTAATTTGATCCACTATCAGCCAGCATGTTTGTGCTGGCAAAGGATGGATGGGGAGAAGTCTACAGAGAAAAGTACAGAAAGCAGAGATGTTTCTGTCCTCTAAAATGAACCTGGATGAACTGGGTTGAGTTTTTCCCTCAAGCACTACGTATATTTGTTTCCGTTCCATGACTGGGGTGGATAGAAGCCGCCAGAGTAGGCTCTACTGCCTACATGTCAAATGCTAATCCTGAAGCTAGGGTCTAGAAAACTCCTGAGAAACAATGTGGCCCTTTTCTGCTCCATACTACTAAGGAATGAAATTTTTAAATGCTTACTCCCTGAAGGTCCTTTCATAGCATCAGATACAGTGAGCTCTAGCCCAAAAAAAGCTTTATGCATAAAACAAACATTACACACACGGTATATTTATTACACACTGTAGTTATTTTACAAGGTGCAAATCTACATAGCCTTCTGATATAAGGATCAACATTTTTCCCTGATACAAAATCTGTATCTTCATTTCCCCATCCATCAGATTCATTTTCTCTTACCCAAAAGCCTCATGAGCATATCATTTAATAGAGTACAGCATACACATGCTGTATCCATGCTTGCCTTGACCAGAACCTTTGCAACACACTAATCACTGGTATCATGCAACCAAACTAAGACTTTACCCTTTCAAACTTTCCTGAAACTATTATTTTTAAAGTAAAAAAAAAAAAAAAAAAAAAAAAAAAAAAA